TGGATTAAATCCACAAAATATTGAGATCGGAGATAGGAATCAGTTTAAGGGATCGGTAAGGGATTAGCCTAAGAGATTGGGGATAAGAGTCCAGTCCAAGAGATCGAAGATAAGGAATCACTCCGACGAGGGGTAAAAGAGATCGGAAACATAATAGGAAGCAATCTGTGTTTAAATCTTTAGCTGTGAAAATGAAAACTTTATTCTATCTCGCGTGAACTAAGATACAGAAAAACATGAAAGTGTCAAACATAAGGACCCACTGTCTGTGAAAATGAAAACTTTTTTCTATCTTGCGTGAACTAAGACACAGAAAAACATGAAAGTGTCAAACACAAGGACCCACTGTTAAATAAACAAGTAATTCGGATTTCCAGTGGATTTGAATGAGCGCTCAGACTTAAAACAAGCAAACCGCTGCTACCACAAACAATCAAGGAAGACAAGACTGGGAGGGAACAGAGAAAGAAGACAACGCCGTGTCTAACTATTTAAATAAAGAAGCCAAGCAGGTTTTTTTTTTCATAAAAAGTAGTGGGAAAAGAAACCCATGCGCGAGGGGCACTCGTATCAGCGCAGCAGTTGCTGCTCGCTTTCTGCAGCTGTCCGTATCTGCATTACTATGTTCACAGACAACTGGGTTATCTCGTTCCTCGATGAATGAACCGTTCCCGGATCGACATGATAAATCCAGTGGTGATTCCACCGTGCTTGTTGAGGGATTCAGTGTGGGTACTGATGATCCAGGCAGTGCTGCCGTCGCGATTGCAGATGGACGCAGTTGCACTGTTTCATCCTTTCGAGTTGTGCTAAAAATGGTAACAGATTTGAAAATTAACACCACCCATCCACGGAATTTTCCACATTATGAACATTTTTATGCAAAAACTACTAAAACGAAATACCTAGGTTTCTAGCACTTTATACCTCAGTAATATTCAAATGTATTAGCATAATAGTTTTTAAAAAAAAAAACTGTGGGCATTCAAATCGCCAAGAGAGTTTTTGTAGGGATCCCAAATTAGTGGTG